TCCCCATCGCTGCCCACTCCCTTGCACTGCAGGGCTGGCATCGGCCCTGGAGCACATCGTGCTGCCAGAGCGGAGCTCCACGCGCAGGCGGTGCTGAGATCATTGCTCGGGGCAGGGGGTAGAGCCTCACCCCCAGCACTGCCTGCTTTGAGGCCACCCCAGCCCTCGTTTCCCTAATTAACAGCCCACAGTAGCATTGCCACGGGGTCCCACACACTGCACCAGGACCTCACGGTGCCGTGCCAACAACGGTGCTCTGCCCTCCGGCTGCCCCGGCTGTGCCAAGGGGCTGCAGCCCCTGCGCCCCCCAGCAGGATGAGCGCCGCTCCACCCCCACAAGGACTGATGCAACCACAGCCTCGCTGCCAGCAGCTCCTCCCCACCATCCGCCTGCAGCTCGCCCCACAGCCAGCCCCACACCGCGCCCCACACACAGCCAGGGACACTGCAGAGGGGACTCCCAGGGCTCCACCAATGCCCACTGCTCCCCAGAGCATGGGCCCAGCCCCGTGCCTCCATTCTTTCCACACGCTGTGGCCAGATCCCTTCCCACCTTGCACCCCAGAGCCACAACGCGCCATGAGCTCCGAGCAGCCCCACTACAGGACAGAACAGCCAGCTGGCAACCGGCACCTGCAACCAAAGCGTGGCCAAACCCCCCCCTTCCCTGCAGGGTGTTCCCAGTGCCGTGGGGGTGACGTGGGTGAGAGCGGGGTGTCCCCAGCCTGGCTCCCCACAATGGCGCTGGCGCTGCTCTCGCTGGCCCTGGGCCCGGCTGGGACGCTGAGCAAAGCCCCACATCCCGTGCAGTCGGCACAGGGAGCACACAGCCTGCCCTGCTGCCGGCACGTGGGGTCCTGGCACGGCTCGTGGTGACCCCCAGCCACCTCTGCCCCACGCTTCGTGGCTCCAGCATTGCTCTCTCATCTTCTCCTTGAACACCCAGGGACAGGTAAGGAGGGAGCATCCTGTGGGGTGCAGACCCTGTGCCCCTACTCTCCGTGCCCCTTACCTTCTTCTGCTGGCATCTCCGTCCCATCGCAGGCGCTGATGAGCCCCACCACGACGACGGCCCAGAGACCCCTCATGGTGCCCTTGGCAGCAGCTCGGGGTCAACTCAGCTGCCTGCAGGTGGGAGATGGGCAGTCAGGCAGGTGGGCGGTGGGCCCCAGCCATTCCCCACACTGGGAAGCCGCCTGCGAGCCACCAGCATGGAGGAGGCCCTGAGTCACTCGGCCGCAGCTCACACAGCCTTCGGGGCTGCAGTGAGGCCCCCACCCACTGCTGGATCCCCCCACCCAGACTTCACATTCAGGGTCGCTACCCGACCCACAAACCCCAAACCCAGACGCACCCCAAAGTCAGGTTGAGGCGCCCCAGAGCCCCACGTGCTTCCTGCTGAGGACCCCAAAAGAACTCTCCGTTCTCTTTTGCCTCCCGGACCCACGTGGTTCCCTGGAGTGGTCCAAAGCCCTTCGGGTCACTGCGACCTGACCCCCCCCCCCCCTCCGCCCGCTTCCTGCCACGAAGCAAGGCTGTGAAACAGCACGAGGCTGCTGCCCCGCTCCCCACTGCTCCCCATTGCCGGGTGGGACACGCACAGGACCCCCCGCACCCCCGCTTCATCCCCCTGCACCGCGACTTTACACCCTCGGCTCTGTTGTAGTCGCGCTCTCCCTTGCAGCCCTGCACTCCAACCTCACAGCGCTGCAGCCCGACCCGACACCACCGCGCCTCGGCTTTGCCACTTCTGCATCCCGGCTTCGCTGCCCTTCTACCCCGACTTCATAACACCGCATCCCAACTTTATCACGCTGCATTCCAACCCTACACCCCCGCACCCCGATTTTATACCCCTCTATCCCCACTTTATGCCCCTAAATCCCGACATCATAGCACCGCACCCCGACTCTGTGCCATCGTTTCCTCAACAGCCCCAACATCGCCCCCCTGCACCCCGACTTCACAAGCCAGCAGCCCGGCTCCTGCCGTGCCCCGTCCTGTCCCGGTCTCCGCTCGCCATTCCCAGAACGCGGATCAATCCCGGTTCGGAGCACCGCCCTCCCCCGCCCGCTGCCTGGAGCTCACCTGCCGGGCTCGGTGCGGCTCGGGCCGGGCGCTGAGCTCCGGGCGCTGCGCTCCGTCCGACCGTCCGTCCGCCGCCGCCTTCCCCGCCTCCCTCCGGGGGGAGCCCGAGCCGCCCCCGGCCGCTGCCCGCCCTCCTCCTCCCCTGCACGGGGCGGGGGGGTAGGGCAGAACCACCGCCCTCCTTCGCCTCCCGCCTTCCTCCTCCTCTTCCTCCTCTCCCTCCTGGCCGGGCCGCCCCCCAGCGGGGGTCCCGGTAACGGCACACCGCCCTCCGCTCCCTTCCCATTGTCGTCCCCCCCGGGGTGTCCTGGGGAAGCGAGCCCCGCTCTGCTCCTGTCCATGGGAAGCGGCTCCTCGTCCCCTGGGGACACTGAGACACGGGGGCAAAGAGGGACATTGGGGCACTGCAGCACAGCTGAGGCACCGGGGGGACGTTGTGGTGCGGGAGGATACTGGAGCACAGAGAGGACGTTGGGACAGCGGGGCACGGGGGGACACTGAGGCACAGAGGGTGACCCAGGTGCTGGCACCAGTGACAGCCGTCGCTGGCCCGAAATGTGGGGAGCACGGCGTCCTCCCGGGATGCCCCTGTGCTCACAGTTCCCTCAGGCCCAGCCCTGGGACCCACACGCAGACCCCACGGGACAGCGCTGCCCCCCACGAGCCGCGCATCGGCCCCAGGCATCCCCTGCGTCCCCTCACCCCACTGCAACGCAGCACCGCCGCGCCTCTGCTCGACCGCTTCCCTCCCAAATTAGGACGAATCTATTTACACTGAAGCTTTACAAATGTGTGTTAGGGACGCATGCATCTCAATAAGCGCGCTCTAATTAACAACTGATATTTATTCAGCCCGCAGTAAATAAGCTGTCTGGGGCAGAGCAGGCAGCGCTGCTGCTGGAGCGGTGCGGTGCCGTTTATCCACCCGGCAGCCCCTGAGATGCGGTGACAGAGCGCTCAGTTCATCTGCAGCTTGCCTACTGTAGCAATTAAGGCTAATTAAAGCAAGTGGGTATGAAACATCACGAAACTTTTATCATTCCTTTTTAGTGGGTGATTATTCACTCTGAGCTGCTCTCTTTGCAGAGCCTCCCAGCGGCTCCATGCGGGTTCGAGCAGGGCTCCGGCACCTGGCTGCAGCCTGGGCGCGTCCTCTCGCCCCTCGGTGGTGCCGGCACAGCTGTGGGTCGTGTTGGGGGTGGTCCCACTGTGCCTCAATTTTCCCGTCCTGGTTGGTTGTTCCCGGTGCGGTGGCACAAAGTGACTCTGCTGGCATGGAGAGCGCGGGGGCAGCCACAGCACAGAGGTGACCGCAGCTCTGTGCCATTCCATGCCAGCACGTGGGGCAGGAGGCTGCACCCTGCTCCTCCAGCTATGGGGCAGGCTCAGGGATGGCTTTTTGCTGCCTTCTGCCAAAGGCTCCGTGGGGATGGTGGCCTCAAGCTCCACTGAGGGGGCAAACATCCCCCCACCATCCCCCCGGAGCAAGGATGGGAAGAGACCGCGGGCCCCCGTGAAGCGCCGAGGCGAGCTGGATTTCCAAGAATCAGCAGCACCAGCGGCCAAGAAACCCGACCCCGAGCAGAGCGCTGCAATTTTCAAGCTGGAGACAATTTGCCTCCGATGGAGCGTCATGCGGTGCAGCGTCGTCACCGCGGGGCTCCCCGCCTCCACCCCTTGCTCGTGCCAGCCCGGAATTCCTGCGGTGTGAATTCCGGGTTTGTGGCGCTGGAGCAGCAGCTTTGTCTCTTCTGGTGGAAGTGCTTCGCCACAAAGGCGGAGGCGCTCAAACCCGAGCAGAGGAACTTTCCGTGCACAGCATCGCAGGGTTTTCTCCATCGTTTCCGCCCCCCCCCAAAACCAAACATTTTTGGCACGGGTCTTCGTGGCGCACAGCGGCTCAGATGGAAAATGGCTGCGATGCTCTCCAAGCCTTTCCCCCGGACGCCGCTCACACCTCGTGCACCCACCAACGGGATTTGGGGCTGAAGACCCCCGCGCTCCCTCCTACGCATCCCCAGCCCTACGGAACTTCACTCCCTCCCATCCCCTTTGCAATCCTGCACCGCCAGGGCGGGCTCCGTTCCCTCACCCATATGGCGTCTCCATGAGTAATGAAAGCTGCTAATTGCCACCAGATGCCCCAGGACTGCCTGCCGCTGCTGCCTGGGGCTGGGAACCAGAGCCGGCCCCAAAGTTTGGGCTGGGCTGGATGTGGGGTGGTGGAGAGAAGAGCAAACAACTCTGAAGAGCGTGAGGACATGGCTGCTGTTCTGAGCAATGAGCGCCGTGACCCAGAGAGCAGCGCGTGGTGTCAGGGGGCTGCGTGCCCCCATCCTGCAGCAGTGCCCTGGAAACCCCAGCTGCAGTCCCTGCACCGAGGCTGCGGTCCCCAGTGTTGCACAACTGGAGTTGGCCCCAGCCCAGCGCTGCCTCGCTCCCAGCACGCAGCCTGCAGCCCAGCCCCAAACCAGTCAGCACTGGGATAAGCTGGGCCATGCAGTCGGTGCTCAGTGGGACGAACAGGGGATGAGAGACCTGCGCTCCGGGGGTCTGCATCCTGCCCCTGCACTGTGCAGCTCCCCACGGTTGCAGCACACGGACGGTTCTCCCCTCGGGCCCCACAAGAATGGGCCCCATCTCTGCTCCTCCTCAGACTGTGCCCCTGTCCCTGCCCCAGGCACCAGCCGCCTCCAAAGTTTGCTCACAGATTGATTACCGTGTCATTCAGCACCCTCAGCTCCTGCTCTCATTTGCACAGCAGTGCGTCAGGGTGGGCTGAGATGCAATCAGGATCCAGGGCACAGCAGGCAGGGCTGGGACAGACGCGTCCCCAGCGAGCGCCATCCCTCCGTCCGTAGGTGGCACACGAAGCACCGCGTGGCGCCCCGCGGCTCCACAGAGAGTGAACTTTTATTTCCAACAACGACAGCACCTGCCCCGTGGGGTGGGGACGGCGGGGACGGCTGGGAGGGGGCGGCCACGGGGCGAGGGCGCCCGGCCACGGTTCCACTACCCAGCGTGGGGGGCGTGGGGTGCCCGGGGCCGCCGCGCGCGTGCACACGGTGCACTGCGTGAAGAAACATCCCGGTAGAAAAGAACGGAGATGCCAGGGCCTCGGCGGCCGGTCCTGCCCGGGGGGGGCCGGGAGGGTGCGCAAGTGAGCGGTGGGTGAGTGCGGGGTGCGCGGTCCCCCCGCGGGGATGGCTCCGACGGCTGGGATCCCCCCGGGCGCAGAGGAGGACGGAGTAACACAGCGTCCGAGCTGGTCCTGCGCGGGGCTCACACCTCCGTCTGGAAGTCCCCATCGGCCGCATCCAGACCAGCGCAGGGGCCCTCCCAGTCCGCACAACGCAGCTCCAGGCGGTCCCGGTGAGCGCTGGGCAGCGAGCCCAGAGTCATCGCCTTGAATGTGCTCCAGGGCTTGGGCGGCGCGGCCGGCGGCTGCGGGTCCTCGGGGCCAGCGGTGTCCTGCGGGGTGAGCGGGGCTGCGGTGTGTGGCACTGCACAGCTCCAGCCCTATAGGGGGCACAGCCACCCGTGTGCCCCTGCATCCCTGTCCACACACAGCCCCGCACTTACAGTGGCCACGCTCTTCTCCCCACCACCTGATGAGACGCTCCATCGCTTTTCTCGCTGCAGAAAGAGGCAGCACTCAGCCCACAGCCCCCCACAGCCCAGGATCCCACATCCCCCCTGAGTGCCCAGCTCTGCTGGAGCCCAGAGCTCACCTTGATGGTGCCGGCAGCTGGCGCCCGGTACCGGTCCAGCGTGTGGAACTTCTGGTTGAGCTCATGATAGAGCTCAGAGTGACGCTTCCGAGTGTGCATCACCTTCTGCAGGGGAGAGAAGAGCCCTCAGCACACGCACCCACACCCATGGCTGCACAGCTGCCACGTGGGGACACCCAGGGACAGTCTGGCTGTGAGCGACACCCCGTCCCACCAAACCAAAATGTTCCCACCCAGTGCTGGAGATCTGGCGGGCAGTCAGCGTTCTGCAGTGCCCGGTGTGATGTTTTTACAGCCTGGCTCTACCCCATCTGCCCCACGTGGCACAGCTGAGGGTCCCTGCCCCACCACAGCCCGCTGCCACCACTCACCTCGAAATCCAGGTCGGAGTACCGCAACCTCTTCCTCTGGGGGGGGGATGCACAGAGCAGTGGGGAGGAGAGGGACAAGAACAAGGAAAGGTCTTTGCAGGCCAAGGCAGAGCCTCGGGCGTCACACAGCCATCCCCACACAGCAGGTGCCAGGCAGGGAGCACGGGAACAGGGCAGCTCTGCAGCCCTTGGCACACACATATATGCTCACGCACGCTCACCACCCTTCTCCCCGCTGCTTCCCTCCCCACGCACACACATCCCCCAGCACACCCAGCTCTGCGCCCCTCCTCACTTCCCGCTCACCTCCAGGGACCCCACTTTCATGGCAGAGCCAGGCACGGTGCGCGGCATGGTGCGGCTGCGCTCCGACAGCTCCGACGCCAGGATCTGCCGCACCGTGGGGTGCTGCTTGAACTGCAGCCCGTAGGGGTGCTTCACCGTCCCGTAGGGCTGGCTCAGGTTCACGTTGACGTGCTCCACAGAGACAAAGCCGGGGTAGGAATCCCCCTCTCCTGCCCCGGTGGGACGGGGGGTCCCTTCCTCAGTGCTGGGCCCCTCCTCGCGCTGGAAGGGCTGCAGGCTGCGGCGTGGCAGCACCATATAATCGCTCTCCCTTGGCGGCTCCGGTGCCCGCAGCCAGCCGTACTCCAGGGGCCGCAGGCTGCTCTCGGTGCACAGGTACACAGGACCCTGTGCCTCCAGCTGCGCCGGCGGCTCGCCCAGCTCCAAACCCGCCACCACGTTGGGTGTCATCTTGGGCACCTGCACCAGGATGCTGGCGGTGGGGATGTTGCCCGGCAGGCTGGAGAAGCCCAAATTGCCCTCTGAGCTGGTGTTGAGCTTGGGGTCTTCGTCGCCATCCAGCGAAATGCGCGACAAAGTGCCAGTGATGGTGGCAGGGTTGCAGGTGTTCACCTCCTTGAAGAGCACTGCGGGCAGACAGGGGGTTGGAGGGGGTCCTCTGGGTGGGTGGGGGACAAGGAGCAAGCCCCCACATGCTGGCATCACATCGGCATCGCGCCCTCTCCATGGCATGGAGCGGCGATGTCCCCAACCCCCGCGCACGGCACAGGGAGCCCTCACCTGTCTGACATGCCAGGTCAACGTCCTTTTCAAAATCTGTCTATAAAAACACAGAAAGAGGGGGAAAGGGAAAGAGAAAGAGAGAAGAGAGAGAGAGGTGGGGAAGTGAATGCATCTTGGGGACCTGCGGGGCACACGGGGGTCCCTGCCTGCTCCGCGCTGGCGCTGCCGCGCTCACCAGGATCTGCACCTGCCCATTCTTGCAGGAGTCGGGCGAGTTTTCATTCTCCTCGCTCCTGCACACCCCTATCTGACACTTCACCACGTCCTGGACCTGCGGGGACACAGCCGGTGATGGGGGTCCCCCGCAGGCAGTGGGGTGCCCCCGCGCCCCTGGCCCACCTCTCGGCGCAGGAAGCCGTGCACAGTGATGATGACGAAGCCCTGGACGGAGTTGAAGACGGCGAAGAGGACCTGGAAGAGGATGGAGCGCCGGTCGGTCATGGCGAGCACGGCCGACATCCAGGTCAGCGCCAGCAGGGGAAGGACCACGCAGGAGCTCCACAGCGATGCCCTGGGGCAGGGAGAGAGGGCAGGGGGTGAGCCCACCGGAGGGGTGCACTGACACAGCCCCGAGACCCCGACTGCTCCCCGACTGCTGCACCCACACGTGCAGCATCCGAGCACCCCCCCGGGTCCCCTTTTTCTTGGCCATGGTCCCCAGTCCGGTGCTCACCCACGTGTGGGTGAGGGTCATGGGAGCTCCTTGTCCCCCCATCAGTCCCAGGGCGCTGGGGGCCGCGGGGTGGCCCTCACCCTCCCGTAGAACAAAGGGAGGTATTTGGCACTGCCTTTTGGGGATGCGTCCCCTGCAATAGGGACGTCAGGTGGATGGGGGTCCCACCAGCACCCGGGGTCTCAGCGCCAGGAAAGGGCTCCCATGCTGCCCTCCCCCAATCCCCACACTCCAAGCAGGAGGAGCAGAGCCCCCATGCCCCGACCCCGGCGATGAGGTGATGGCAGAAGCCATGCCATGCGGGGGGGATGGCTGCAGGGGGCACGCGACCCCGCGCCCGGGGCCGCCCCGAGCACACAGCCTTGTCTCACACCCCATCCCCGACCCCACGGGGGTGCCCAGCACCCAGCCCAAGTACCGACCCCCCCTCCTCCCACCCCGGTACAGGCTGTGCTCGGGGTGGGGGCGCAGCGGGCGCGTGGCGGGCACTAACATGGCGCTGCTGGCGGTGGCGGAGGTCATGGCCGCGCTGGACACCACGCCGCACTTGGTGCATTTCAGCAGCAGGCTGCCGCAGGGGGGGGGCTTCGAGCTACGTGCCCACCACCCCCCCGGCACCCCGCGGCCAGGAGCGGGCCACGCAGGGGGGGGCAGGAGGGGACAACAAGGCAGGGGGGCAGCGGGAGGGACAGATGGATGGACAGACGGATGGATGGACGTGGGCAGAAAGCAAATGGAGGGAGAAAAAGAAAGAGAAAGAGGGTTAGTTGGGGCAGCAGAGCTGTTAATGATTTGCAGCGGTGGCCAAGCGGCAGCAAGGGGGGTCCACAGCCCCTCTCCCTGGGGTGACAGCCCCCTCCCCATGCGCTGCCCCCAAAGCCCCCTGCAAAAGGGCTGCTCCAGCCTCAGTCCCACCTCCCACCGATGTGACAAATTCCGCTCCATGCTCACCCCGTGCCCATGAGCCCCCGCAGCCCCCAGCCCCACAGCAGGGCAGGGGGCTCCGCGCCGGCCCCGCACCGTCCCGCCAGGCGCAGGGCACTTACCCAGCTCGCTGCTTTTTGGACTTATCTGAAATGCCGTCGCGGGACATGAGCTTGTTGAAGACGATGATGCCCACCAGCATGTTCACCTTGGGGGGAGCGGAGCCAGGGTTAGGGCATCACGGCCCCCACGACACACAGGAAGGGTCTGGGGTCCGCGGGGGTCCGTCCTACCAGCACAATGACGGCTGCGGGTCCCACGAAGGCGTAGAGCAGACCGCCCTCCAGTGAGAGCCAGCAGCTGCGGGGACCAGGGGGGGTCAGGGGTGTGGGGAGGGGATGCCCCCGCCCGCTCCCCATCCCCATCCCCAGCCTGGTGTGCCCCCCTTCCCCACATACTAGCTTGCCGTCCCATAGCCTTTGGTCCGTGTGAAGCCAACGGAGACGGCGACCACGAGTGCTGGCAAACCTGGAGAAGGGAGGGAGGTGCTGTGCCCCTGGCCACCCCTCCAGGACAGCCCCAATGGATGGGGACAGGGAACACAAGCCAAGTGGGGCCACGCTGCTCTCCGCCTTGCCTCCATTCCTTACGAGGGCTCCAACAACCCCGCGGGGAATGGGAAAGTCGCACGGTGCCCCATCCTCCATCCCGCCAGCCCTTACCCCATCCCAAGCACAGGAAGCGCTTCCTGACCAGGCGTGTCCGGATGCGGCCGATCACCGCCAGGTAGGACTGCCAGGCCTCCGTCAGCACCCAGCAGAAGGATGAGAGGAAGAAGAAGTGGAGGAAGGCGGCCGTCATGGTGCAAACGCCCTGCAGGGACACGGGGAATTTCAGGGGATGCGGCGCGGCGGCGGTTAACATCCTGTGCCCGCGGTGAGGGTTGCGCCAAAGCCGTCACACAAAGCGTTTAATCTCGAGATTGAGTTAATCCAAATCCAATCTGGGAGCTGGGGGTGGGACGCAGCGCGTGGGGGGTGTGGTGAGATGCCCACCTTGCTGAGCATCTGGGTCTGCCCCACGAGGATGAGGACGTTGGAGGCCAGGATGGAGACGCAGAAGTTGAGCAGAATGATGGAGCGCTCTGACTTGATGAACCTGGGGGCAGAGAGGTGTGGGGCTGGGGGGTTGGACCGTCCCCTTCCCTTCCCCTTCCCGTCCCATGTCTCCAAACTGCTGCATGAGCTGCCCCGACTCAGGGATGGTGCCCACCCTAACCCCAGCCGTAACCCTATCCTGACGTTCACCTTTCCCTGCATGGCATCACATCGAGCTGATCCCATTGCTCATGCTGTGCCCCCTTCCCACCCCACTCCCCACCTCTGTCATGCCTTGGGTGCCCCCCAGTCCCCCACCCGACTGGATGCTCACCTCCAGAACGCAGCGTAGATCACCAGCAGCGTCAGCAGGGCCATGCAGGACACAGCACAGCCGATCATCAGCGGCACCGACGGGCTGCCCGAGGGGTCCATGGCCTGAAGGGGAAAGGAGGGAGAGGCTCAGCCCAGCCTCCCCTTGGCAGCTCCCTGCTGGACCCCTCTGCTCCCACTGGGGACCCCCTGAGCATGTGGGCGGTGGCAATGGTGTGGCCAAGGCACCTTCCTGGGGACCCGTGCCCATCTCCATGTCAACGGGGGATGTGGGCAGAATAGCAATAGGGCAGGGGCCTTATGCCACAAGGGTTGAGACCCATCCCCTAAACAGAGCCCACGCCACCTGAGTGCATCCCTCGGACTCCAGGATCCCAAACAGTGGGGAAACCCCCCCCCCCTCCTGCTCTGACATCCCCCATTGCACCCCCCCTCAGTGCCACGGCCGCAACACCTCCTCACCCCCACCCCAGGACTCCCGTTCAGCCGTGCCCTGCAACGTTCCCATCCCCACCTGCTGTCCCCATCCCCACCCGCCGTCCCCTACCAGGTCTTTGGGCAGCTGTGCGATGATGGCGAAGGTGGCGAGCCGGCGGCACTGGCATTTGGTGTGTGCTGGAAGGGTCTCCAGGGTTTGGCAGCTCTCCGTGTCCCAGTTTCCCAAGCCAGCATCGCTGATTAATGGGACAAGCACAAGAGGGAGAGAGCAATTTGATCAAACCACCGCACAGCCCCTCGCAGCTCTGGATTAACCCTTCGCTCACCCCCCCAGGGTGAGTGCCTGGGGTGCGAGGCATGGCATGAAGCGCTGATCCCCTCTTGGAGCCTCAGTCTGCAATCGTCCCATCCAGACTGGGGGGCGACAGCCAGACAGAGGGGTCCAGGCCTGGAGGGATGGGTGTAAGCAGTCCTGGGGCTCCCCAGCACCTGGCACAGGAAAACCCTCTGCAAACTCAAATTCAGGGGGGCAAATGCTCCCCCTCTGCAACTGCGGGGCCAATGCCCTGCAAGAGGCAGTGCTGGGATGGGGAGCCCATGGGGATGCTGTGCCACTTGCATAGGGCAGAGGGGACTGAGCTGTGGGTCTGTGGCACAGCTGGGAACATCCGTCCCCATGCTGGGCTGAGACCCAGCGCGCTCATCACAGCCACAGCCATCACCACGGCACATCTCCTGCCAGCAGCAGCCCCCCAGCACCAGTGGGGCTGTCCTGGCACCAGGGATGCCAAGGTGCAGGGCGCCCAGGGGTGCTGTGTCCAACCCCACGATGCAGCCCCCCCCCCACCGTGCCCTACTTTTCCTCTCTCCTGCCACAGCAGCAAGCACTGCGCTAACAAATTGCATCTGGCAGGCTGTAGGCAGCTGTCTCCAGCGTCATGCTGAAGCAAATCGATACCCACACCAGCAAAATTATCCCCCAGCCGGAGGGGCTCAGCGTGGGATGGCACTGGCCCCACTCCCCACGGTGCCTCTGGGGCCATGGGAACAGCACCTCCCCCCCCCACCCCATCCCTGCACCCCACTCACGTCCTTGAGTAGTCCCAGGTGACGCACTGCGGGTGGGATGTGCCCTGCGGATGGACAGACAGACGGGTTGGACCCGGCCCCACAGGGTGCCCATCCCCACATGGGGCAGGAGGGGCTGAGGGGACACTCACATTGATGATGTGGGAGAGCTCCACCAGCACGAGGGGCTCAGAGGGCCTGGTGGGTGGGCGCACCGTCACCATCAGCACTTTGGAGGTGACGGCCAGCGGGGTCCTGTGGGGAGCAGGCAGCTGCGGTGGGGACACAGGGACATGGGGACAGGGGGACATGAAGACAGGGGGACACGGGGACAGCCCCACTCACCTGGGGGGCGGCAGGATGAGTCCCAGCGTGCGGTACAGCACGGCCCCGATGACAAAGTGGGACGACTCATCCAGCTCTGCAGAGGGGACGGAGAGCGGTGCTGCGGTGCAGGGAGGAGCAGAGCCATTGCCCAGCACACGCGTGTGCACGCATTGCAGACATGCACCCAGCAGGCACACACAGCTGCTGGGACACGCAGGAGGGAGCACACGGCCCTGCAGCACAGGCACACGCTGCTCCCCAGCAGATGAGCAGGCAACATGAGCAGGCATCGTGCCACCTGCACACACATGCACACTTGCAGCTGTGCGCTCAGTCATGCACTCACATACGTGCACACTCGTGCTGACACAGACTCCTGGACGTGCATGCTCAGCCACGTGCACACATGGACACACTCACAAAGGGTCAGGTGCACACTCACATGTCCTCACACGTCTGCTCACACAGCCAGAGATGCGCGTTCTCACGTGTGCACCCTCACATGTATGTGCACAAAGAGGCAAGAGCGTGCTCACAGCCATGCTGGCTCAGACATGCACATACACCGGTGCAGACTCCAGGATGCCTACGCTCATCCACTCGCACACACGTGTGCACACTCGCTCCCCTGCCCACCCCCGTACCGGCAGAGGCGAGGCTCAGCACCTCCCTGGGGATGAAGAGTTTGTCCTCAGAGCTGCGTGCCCAGTCCTTCATGCCCCGACGGCCCTTCATGGGGAAGTTGATGTCGCTGGACACGGCAGAGACGGGCTCACGCTGGATGCTGATCACTGCGAGCACAGCAGGTGTCATCCCCAGGACCCCCCACCCCAGGACCCCCACCCCAGGACCCCCACCCATCCCACCCCACTGCCCGTCGCTCACCCAGGTTGTCGGTGACAATGAGCGAGCTCTGGAACGCCTTCAGTGCATCCCCCACCAGGTGGATGAAGTCCTCCACCACCTTCATCAGGTGCACGGAGCCGGGAGAGACCTGTGGGCAGCAGGCAGCTTGGTGTACATCCCCCGCATGGGACACCGTAGGGGCGCCTCGTGGGGACAAACGGCCACGCTGCTCACCTGCTGTGCGTCCTCCCACTTGTCCCTGTTCTCTGCATCAACCATGTAGCTCACCACCTGGAAGAAGCGCTGCAGGGACGGGGCTCAGTGGCACCGGGGGTGGACAACCACCACCCCCACCAGCACCCAGCAGTGCCCCCATCCTACCTGCACATCCTCAGAGGACGGGATGTAGGTGGCTCTCTTGAAGGTGTCGGTGACGTTGCGCAGGATCTCGACGGAGAAGAGCAGGTCCCCGCTGTAGTAGGTCTTGCGGGCCATCAGCTCCAGCAGGCTGCGCACCACCTGCGACATGCCCTCACCCGCCAGCACTCGCTGCCCCTTGGCCAGGTGCTCCCGCAGCTGGATCAGGATGAGGGCAGGGGACAGCGGTGTCACCCAGTGGCCAGCAGGTGCCCTCATCCCTTGCCATGCCCAGAACTAATCAGACTAATTAGGGAAGCAGCAGGAAAAGGGGGCCAGAGGGTCTTTCCATCGCAAGAGTCACTTTGCGACTTCCTTCCCCACCCTGCCTCAGTTTCCCCACGTGGTTACCCACAGGGCGATGAAATAACCCCCCTGTGGAGCAGGAAGCGTGCTAGGGGGACACCCACCCTGCATGGGGACAGCAAGGGACGGGGACTGCGGACCCACGGGGACAGGGGACGGAGCGTGCACCTACTGAGAGATGCAAGTATCGATACTCGTGGGAGATGCAGCGGGCGAAGCTGGGCACACCCCAGTATGCAACCCCGTGGGGGTTCAGCAGGCACCGGCGGCTGGCGGACCCTGCAGGGGAAACAAGGGCTGGGGGCTCAATGGCAGCACCCCCAGGGCTGGGGGGAAGCTCGCCCCTCGCCCCTCACCTGTGGCATTGGGAGGACACTTGTTGTAGATGACGTCCCCCGCTGCGGTTTTCTTCCAGGTCATCAGCATGACGTACTCGTCCTTGCACATCTCGTGGTAGGCTGTGGGGCGGGAAGGGGGTCAGACACAGCCCCGGCCCCTGGGTGGGCGCTGGGGGCTGCCCCGTACCTGGGCACTTCTTCTCATTGCAGGTCTTCACCTCCTCGCCCGTGCCCTCGCAGGGGTAGCCCTGCACGCCGGTGCCCTCGCACATGCGGAAGCGGCGCTGCCAACCCGTGTCGCACGTCTTGGAGCAGAGGCTCCAGTGGTTCCAGGGGCCCCACTTGCTGTCGGCTGTGGGGACAGGGACACCGTGGGGGCCCCGGGCTGCTGAGCGCGACAAGCGACACCCAGTGCCATGTGGGGATGGGGACGGGGCAGGGCTGTGCTCCCGCTGCGCTGCTGACTGCAGAGTCAGTAACTTAAATCTCTCCAACAAGAGAAACGTCCCCCTCCTGCAGGCCTGCTGTTGGCAGCCTGAGGGCACCCAGCCCACCCTACACCCAGTTCCCTCCACCTGCAGCTGATGCAGGGAGAGATGAAGGACGGGGGGAGGACAGGGCACAGCTGTTAGCCCCGTGTCCCCATTCCTGATCCCCAGGACCCTGCGGGGCAGTGGGACGGGGTCAGTTCTCAGTCCCACCATTGCACTGCGTGCACCAGGACCTGCAGCCATCAGGTACCGATGGGTACTCGGCACGGTGCAAGGAGCAGCAGGGATGAGCAGCACAGAGATCTCCTCCAGCTGGAGGGAGCAACCAGCGCGAGCTGGGCGGCTGCTGCACCCCAGCACTGTGCTTTTGTCCTGCTCCCCATGCACCCCCCCTCCGCAACGGTGACCCCGCAAGCATGCCAGCAGCTTCGCAACACCGACAGCGACACCACAGCAGCATTAAGGCAGAATCATGCCGCATCCCTCCCGGCCCCCCCCCAGCACACGGAGCCTTACTGGGACACATGGGGTTGGAGCACTCGCGGGCATCGGCGTGGGCTCCCCTGCACTCCGCCCAGCCGTGGGCTGAGACGCTGCACTTGCGCGTGCGCTGCTGGGTGCCGTTGGCGCAGGTGACGGAGCAGCGGCTCCAGGCGCCCCACTCCAACCACTGCCCTTCCACTGTGGGGACAAAGTGAGAGAAATGGGTCAATGCCCGCGCAGCCCCAGCTGCCCACCGCCCGCACCGCGCTCTGCGTGCAACGGGTCCAACCTAACGACGCGCCGCTTCACGTGGCCGAGCTGAGCTGGCAGCACCCAGCTGTGCCCTCACCAGGGTCTCTTCACCAGGACAGACCCCGACCCCACAGCACTGCTGCTATGGCACAGCAACGCCGCAGCACCGCTCTGCACCATGAACTCCGACAGATTCCAGCACTCTGGGTGACAAAAGCCACAACGCGCAGCGGGGACGCAGCCCTGCATGGCGAGGATGTCGGGTGCACGCAGTGCACCTCGCGTTCCTCCTGCATCACTGCACCTCACACGGGGTGTCCCTGCAGCCCATGGCTCTGACACAGCATCTCCGACAGCATCTCCACAGCTCCGACACGCAGCCAGAGCCCTCCGCTGCCTCCAGCACCTCCCCAGTGCCCCACGATGTTCCCGTGCCACCCCAAGTGCAGCACACTCTGGGGATGGCTCCTCATGCCCATGGTGGGGGCTCCGGGCCCTGCAGCACGGCTGGCTCTCCATGGGGACCACTGCGTGGGATGCACCCCTGTGTCCTCCCCACGCTGTCCCATGTCCCCGTGGCTGCAATGCCTGAACCTTGCATCACTGCAGCCCCTGTGCCGAGAGCACAGCCCTCACTCTCAGCTCTTTTCCTGGCTGTCCCAGGGCTGGGGACACGGAGCAGGGGGAGAGGGGAGTGGTACTGACCCAGGCAGGTCGCGATACTGCAGGGCTTGGCCTGCAGCTCGGGGCCCTCGCAGGCTTTCCCTCCGTGCTGCGGGGCCACGCACCGCCGCGTCCTGGTCCTGGCCCCTCGCCCGCAGGTCACCGAGCACAGGCTCCACGGGGACCAGTCCTCCCAGGCACCGTGAACTGCAACACAGCACAAGGCCGTCACGGCACTCCTGGCTCCCTGGACTGCAGCCTCCCTGCATCCCCTCCTCCTGGCACCGAGGGGTCCTGGACATTGCAGACCCCTTGTGCCTGGGGGCACCGCTGGGCATGATCCCATGGCACAGCTGTACCCTCCCCACCTTTGTGCCCTACCAGCTCCAAGCAGGCAGCAGCGAAGCCACATGGCTCCCTGCCCAGCTCCAGCTTCCCTGCTGGGTTCCCAGTGGTGTGTGCATGCTGTGCCTGCTCACCCTGGCACCAAACCATGCGCACAGCCCCTGTGTGTGTGCACATTACACGAGCTCAGCTCATCTGGAAGCAGCCAGGGACCATGCAGCTCCCCAGGCATCCTAAAGGATGCTCTGTGAGCTGAGATGTCCCCATCAGCTCCCGCACCCAGGGGAGCACCCATATGTCATGGAGTGCACAGCCTGCCTGCTGCAGACACACTGCTCCCTGCAGCCCCACACAAGATGCACAGCCCCCTTAGTGCACAGGGCACAGCAGGCATCCATCCTGCTGCTCCTGCCCGTGATCCTGCTATGAGCACCAGGCAGCTTGGCCACCTCCTGCCACGCACAGATTGGGATCAGCTACCGGTGGCTTCCCGACCCCAGCCCCACGCCATGGGGCGCACACACTGCACTGTTCCCCAGGCACAGCGCTCTGCGGGTTCGATGCCCCAGGGATGGTGAGATGATGGGGAAACGAGCTGCACAAAGCTGCATCCTCGCTCCCCCCATTTTCCACAAACGCACAGCGCTGCTGTCCCCATCCCTGCACGTCCCCCCGCTCCCCAGTGCCCCATACCTGGGCAGGTGGCCGTGTTGTTGCAGGTGCGTGTCTCCCTCAGCAGCCCACTGCACAGCGTCCCGTATGGAGAGGAGACACAGGAGCGCGTCCGCACCTGGGAGCCCTGCCCACACGTCAGTGAGCAGACGCTCCACTGCGACCACTCCTCCGCTGCGGGGTCCCCTGAGGGGAGACAGGGTGTGAGGGATGGGGACAGCGTGGGGAGAGTCGTGCGGACCCTTTGGGGATGGGGTTGGAGTTGGGGACGGGGTTGGAGACGGGCAGCATCCACAGGCACAGCGAGCACGAGCACACCGAGGTTGCAAGCAGGGTGAAGGAGCCCCCGCTATGGCACTGCTGCTCCCAAGCCTGGAAAAAGGGTCAGGGCTCAAGATCCGACACCTCTCGGAGTCCCTGCGCAGATCTGACCCTGTGTGGAGTCCCAGCCCTGCACGACCTCTGGGTGCCCTGGGAGACCTGCGGCATGCAGCACCGCCTGCCCTCCCCGCAAAGCCACACTGCTGACATTTGCAAGCACCCAGCTCTGATGAAGCTTGATGATCTACCTGAAGCTATCGGACAGACCAGAAGAAAAGGCCATCAATTTAAATTAAAAAGGAATACATGGAAAAAGGCTCTGAAGGGGACAGAATTTGTCCCGCAGGCAGGCTCTGCTCCTTCCGAGCTGCCTGCATCATGGGGCGATGGGGCCATCCCTCCCATGGGGTCATATTTGGGGCGGCAGTGGGGCTGGGTGCCCCCCACAGTGGGTGTTCCCATGCCCCTGGCTGCACCCAGCAGTTCCATGGGGTAGGAGCTGGCTGTGGGAGATCTGCATGCCGGGCACACGGAGCAGTGCTGGGGCCCATCCATCTCCCAGCTTGCCTCCAGGCCCATCAATCAGGAGGTGCTGGGGAGGGGGAGCACAGCACTCCAATTACCCAGATGAATTTGCCAAATAAATACATTTGAACGAAACAATTAATAGATTTTTCTTTTCTTTTCTTTTCTTTTTTTTTTTTTGCTTTACAACCCTCGGAGGAAGGCGCAGAGGAAAAATGTATAAATGGAACAAATGAAGTCTGTCCGTGGGCTGGAAGCAAAGGAAGTCACTCTGTCTGCATCACCCATCACCCTGTGCAGAGCCACCCATCCCTCACCCTACTCTACCTGTCTGGGCCATGTACACCCCTGGCTCATCCGCCGACCGTGGCCACTGCGTCTTCACCTTCTGGTTCTCCTCAACAGCATTGCCTGGAAGAGAGAAGGGCTGCAGTGAGAGCAGGAGGGGGACGGGCACGGAGATGGGACATTGTGGGGACAGCAAATACAGGGATGGGCACGGGGACGTGGGGACAGAGCTGGGATGGGATGTGGTGGGGACGCTGTGAAGTGGGGTGAGGATGCCCAGCCCCATGCTGAGCACTGTGCGGCTTCACGGTGTGTGAGGGTCACAGATGGCTGAGCACAACCACAGCCTCAAAATGCACCACACCTCTGCCAGCCCCTGCATTTTGGTCGCGTGGGCTGAAATCCATCCACGCGCTCCAGGGTACCGATGTCCCCAGTGCACCTCTGGGCACCCGAATGGCAGCGAGCGGCGGCGCTCTCCCTTCCCCACCGAACAGATTGCTGCAGTGAGGTGGCACAAATTTATGGCTCAGCTCACCAAAAATAACAAGAGATCCATCAAGAGCATTTGGCGTGAAATTAACTGGCACACAGAGAGCTCAGCAGAGAGGCACGGGGGCAGCCTTACCCCATCTCCCCATCCAGATCCTCCTGGGACCCCTCTGTGTCCCCACATCCAGCACACCGATGTGATCCCAGCGGTGGGAGCGGCGCGGTGCCATCGGGATGGAGGTGGCACCGATGTCCCCAGGCATCAGGGTGCAGGTGGCACACACAGCCCGAAGCCCCACTGCACCCCATTGCCGGGCCAGCTGGGATGGTGTGACCAGTGACCACCTCAACACAGCGACGTCCCCATGGGATGGACGGGAGGTGACACGGGGATGTGGAGCACCCAGCTGTGCTCCTTGTGCCATGCACGCAGGTGATCCATGGCTGCAGGCACGGAGCACCTCCTGTGCTGTCACTTTGCAGTGCCAGAAGATAGACTCAAATTTACCGACTCGCCTTCATGACCCTGCCTGGCTCTGCCCCGTGCTGGGACGCAGCCCCGCTCTGCGTGCGCCACTCTGCAGCACATGGGGACACGGGGGACCATCAGGTGCTGCTCAGCCATAGGGCCACCCGGCCCTGAGAACAGCACAGTGCAATTACAAACATCCCCGCGAGAGCCCGGGGAAGCCATAAATCCAGAGGATATATGAGGGCGCTCTGCCCAGCTGTGTTCGACAGAGACACCAAATTCAATTTTCTTTGGAGAGCACTAAATCCCCAGTCCTCACTGCAGGGCTCTGCCCGCAGCCGTGCCCAGACCCTGCTGCACCCGTAGCACCTGACCCAGGGTTCCCCATAACGCCGCTGCTGCGAGGAGGGGGTCCTTTAGTTTGACCCCCCCAACGGTGGCCATGTCCCTGAAAGCTGGGAGCCCACAGCATCACTGCCGTGGCGGGGGCTGCTGTGGGGCAGTGGTTTCAATGGAATGGGCACCGCGGCCCCATGAGCTGCACGGCTGGAAGGCTGAGAGCCCAATGGCAGAAATACGGGCAGCACAGCTGTGACACAAGCAGTCACTTCATGATGCCCCGAGCCTCCATCCACCCGGTGGGGCAGTTCTGCCTGCCCGTGCACCCACACGATGCTGCACCCACACGATGCTGCACTCCGGGGGCTGCATCCCTTTGGGTACGTGGTGCACAGGGACGGCGCTGGGGATGGGAACTCCATGGCACCGCCGCAGCTGGGAACAGGGCTGCATCCCTTTGGCTCCCACAGTGTAAAAGGGGACAGCGCTGGGGACGGGGACCCCGTGGCACCGCCGTGGCTGGGAACGGGGAGGCCCCGGGAGCTGCTGGGCCGATGCCAGCCCCGAACGGCTGCGGCTCTCGGCGGAGGAGAGCCGGTGAGATCAGTGCTGGGCACCCGCCAAGCTCTGCTCACAGGCGCCATTCAGCCCCAGCCCCGCTGCCGCCCTGAAAGGAGCCCATTCTCCCCCCGGGGGGCTCGGGGGAGGCCAGGTGGGAGCAACCCCTCGCTGCCATGAAGGATGCTCTGTGCTCTGGGCGCAGTGACGCACGTGAGCGCCCGGTGTGCGTGGGGATGCAATGCAACGGGGACGCAGCGCAATGGGATGGCACCTGGACCCAGCGCTCAGCTCTTAATCCTCCCATGCAGAGTTGCATTTGAAGTGGGGAGGGAAGGGGGGGGAGAAGAAAAAAAATCAGATCAAGGAGCTCCCATCGGGATGAGGCGATTTATAGCCACGCAGCTGAAACGGACCGGGGATTTATTTGGGGGATCTGCCCGTAATGACATTTAGCTCCTGAAATAAATGCTAAAGCCCAATGAAATTATATATATACACACAGCCCATCGCCACCACCTAATCTGCTGGGAGCAGCGGTGCCCTGGATAAAGAGAAAGCAGCTAAGCTCCTCGTTGCATCGCCTGGGGCTGGCACAGGGGAACAACATCTGGCCAGACGTGCTCCCAAAGCACCAGGGACGGCGCCACGTGCAAAGGGCGCGTTGGGATGGGAGGCTCCCCAGCAGCCCAGCCCCGCTGCTCAGGGCAGGGGGGGCACGACTGCTTTGCTTGCAATTTGTTGCCGCAATTCCATCCTGAGCAAATGGCTTTGCTGTGCCTGGTTAACAGCCCGGCCGTGCCATCCTGCCTGGAATAACAAGAGCACGGGCTGCAGCAGTCAAGGGTAATTTGCCGTGGGAAAGGGTCATTTTACCTGCAAATTGTTTTCCACGTCTGCACCAATGCAGAGTGACAGCGCTCCTGCTCTGGGCTCGCGGTCAGGCGAGCAGAAGAGCGGCCGCGCAGGAGGAGAGCGAGGCCCCGGGGCTGCACAGGCTGTGCTCAAAGAGCCGTGGCAAAGCGCAGGGGCTGGGCTGGTCAGAGCGAGCTGCAGCTCTGGGAGCTCAGCGTGTTGCTCAGAGAGAAGCACCCAGAGCTGGGAGTGGGCACGGGAGGGATTTACCCCTGGTGTGGGTTCTCAGCTCCGTGCGCTGCGCACGCTGGGCACCCTCCTGTCTCAGGAAGTGTATGCAGCAGGATTTATCCTTTGCGTGGTGTTTCTGCTCAGTGCAGAGCCCATTTTGCATCCCCCCCCCACCTTGAGAAGTTGCATGAGCAAGATCCATCCTTCGCATATTTCCTTGCTCCACAACCAGATGTGGATTTGCACCTCCATTCCCGAGGAGCGTGGTCAGGATCCATCCATTCACATTCTCCCTGCTCAGAGCACAGCGCCCAGTGAGGGACAGGAGTGTGCATGAACAAGATCCACCCTTTGCACCGTCCCCGCTCTGTCTCCAGCCCCAAACCCCATCCCACCACCCCCCAGCACGCCCCACTCACCATGGGGGACCTCGGGCAGCTCGAACTCATTGCCACTGGCAGAATGCAGCTCAGGTTGGGGGCAGCACTGGGGGGTGGCAGCGGGCGGCGGGGCAGGCGTGCGGGTGGTGGGGAGCCGTGTGCCGTTGTGCCGCGGTGCCGGGGGGCTTTCTGCTTGGCAGCTGCAACCCGCATGGGTGAGGCCGCAGCGCCGGGCGCCGGGGGCTTGCAGGCACTCCTCCAGCCAGCGGCACAGCACGCTGCATGTGAACTGGCTGGAGTTGTTGTTGTTGATGAGCAGCACCTCCACGAAGCGGAACTCCAGCGCTTGCGGGGCCAGCAGGCGCGGGGCAGCCTCGGGTTCCGCCGCCAGGCACAGCTGCACAAAGTTCTTGTCGAAGTGCAGGAAGGTGAAGGGCCCCGCGGCCTCGCACAGCTCCAGTTCGGCTTCCTCGCCCTCCTCCTCCTCCTCCTCCTCCTCGGGGTGTGGGGAGGGCGGGGGGCTGGCGGGCTCTGTGCGCGGCTCGCAGGTGTAGTTGGCCAAGTAGTGGTCGAGCGGCAGCACCATGGGCGAGAAGTGGGTGCACACCTGCTCCTCACGGTTGAAGCGGAGGTACAGAGAGTACTTGGTGGGGTCGGGGTTCTCCAGGGTCCAGGAGCAGCCGGAGGAGATGGTGGGGAAGAGGTCCTTGAGAGAGAAGGAGCCGTAGAGGACGCCGGAGGCCAGAGCGGAGCAGGCGCTGGGAGCCGGGTCAAAGCCCCGCGTGAGCCACAGGACAGACGATATCACAGCCAGTAAGAGGGGACCAGCAGCGGTCATCCTATGGCATTTGCCCTGTGGGAGAGATGGACGGATGGATAAGCAGACGAGACAAATGGGCAGGCAGATGGATGCTTACAGGGAGCTGCACCAGGAGTGCGGAGCTGGTGCAGGGGGGGTCAGGCACATCGGGTGTCCCCAGCCCCCAGGGGACAGCCCTCACCCAGTGCTGCACTGTGCTGCGGTGACCTCCATGATGGCAGCTGTGAGCCAAAGCCACCAATGCTGCAGCCCCTGCTCGCTCAAGGGCAGGAGCTGTGCAGTGAACGGATGCTGGGGGTCACCGTGGGAGATGCCATCCCCTGCAACACAGCCCCCAGGCTCTGCACAGCACCCAGGACCCTGCTGCCATCCCATTTCCATGCACATCCCTGAGATTGGCAGCCTCTGTAGGGATCCCTCCTGCAGCCCCGACCAGCACTGCCCAGCAGGCACAGCACTCTGGACTCATCCTGCAGCCCCCCCCTGCACCCCACAGCTCACTGGGACGCCCTGCTGTCACGGCATCCACACCTCCCACACCAAGACCCCAGCACGGGGCGAGCTATCATTCCAACACCTATTTCTTGGGAACCGCACCAAGCACGCAGAGCATTGCTGTCAATAGCTGTTTAAGAACTCATTAACAAAATAATGCACGCGGTGGCCTTTTTAAGCAGGACCAGAGGGCAGCTTTACAGCAGCCAAGGACACCGATCGCCCATCAGCACTGCTCTGTGGGGCAAGGGGACAACTGGAGAGGGCTGGGAGGTGCCCCTTCACCCTCAGGCTCTTCTATGTTCCAAATCCTATCCTTACTGCTGGCAGCCGGGCTTCCCCTACGCAGGGCAGGAGCCGGAGCTGCGGCTGAGGCTGCGCTGAAGCGGTGCAGGGCACATTAGGGAGCTAAAAATAATCCAGCTCACATGCAACAGGCACAGGGGCTCAGTGCCGGCAGCACGTGCACGGGGAGGAAGGCACGGCAGGCGGCGGTTGGGCAGGATGGAGGTGGGACCCCCAGGTGTAAAATGGGGGGGAATGAATGGAAGCACTGCTTTGTTCCAGCCCCGTTCAACGGGAGACCCCACAAGCAGCTGCGCCGTGCCCCTGCCAGAGCCCTGCAGGCATCACAGACACCGTCAGGATCACGGGGTCCCCTGGAGGATGTGACCATGTGCAGCGTTAGGGATGGCAAGGAAGAGGAGGAGGAGGAAGGGGAGGAGGAGGTCAGATGGGGACACGCTCCACTCTGCAGCGAGCTGAGCGCGGGGCTCCCGCAGCCTGGCAGGGACACAAGATGGTGCTTGCTTCCCTCACCCGGCAGCAGCGAGCAGGGAACGCTTCAGCCCCTCTGCCAGCACAGCCGGCACGGCTCCCTGCATCCCAACCACGCTGCCCTGCAGGAGCATCCCGCAGCCCAGCCCCATAGCAGAGCCAGGATGCTCCCAGCACCAGCGCACAGCCGCTGCCGAAGGCCTTGTTAAGCACCAGCCCCGCTCCCTGCAGCGAGTGCTGCTGCCGCTGCAGTGAAAATATTTCATTGGGCCTCACGCTGAGCCTGAGAAGATATTGAACAGCTGGGGCACCGAGTGACCCGCGGGGACACAGAGCTGCAGAGAGGCTCGGGGACATCGCGGCTGCCACCAGCCCTACCTGGCACCGCCGTGGGGACATCGCGCCGTGCAGCATCGCCGTCCCAGTGCTCCAAAACGGCCCCATCCCTCGTGCAGGGGAGAGCCCAGCACACACCTTGCCATGCTGGGAGCTGTGGGCTGCAGGGATCCCCGCTGCCCCCGGAGATCTGCTGCATCCCAGCGCCTCACGGGGCTGTGGGAGCTGCTGCTGGCACTGCTGGCACTGCTGGCACACTGCAGCCTGCTCCAGCCCCTCTCATCTCCCTTTGTTCCCCGCCCGGGCTGAAGGGAGGGCTGGGTTTTTAATTAAAGCTTTTAAAGAGCCATTACAGAGCCGGGAAACGACGGCATGGAAATGACAGCGCTGTGCCACAGGGGGAGGCGTGGCGGCTCCGCTGGGGAGTGGGCAGCGCTCCATCGCCACTGGGATCCCACATCTCCCCATTGCTGCCGGCATCCTGCATCGCTCCAGGTTCCAGCAGCAGGAGGAGGCGCTGCCCTGCACCGCAACACCCCGGCTGTGCTCACAGGCTGTTTTCCTGAAGATCTTTGCATTAATGGTGACTTCATGGGGGACTCCGCGCAGCTCCGTCTGCCCAGCCCCGGTGCTGGGAGCAGAGGTTTCTCCGTGCCAGGCAATGGTAGAAACAAAGACACCGCCCCAAAAGCGATAAGCGGGCGTCACTAAATCCTGCCAGCATTAATAATCTGAGAAACGATTAATAGCAAAGTAAAGGAGATTTGGGTTTTAAGCGACACGCTTTTCAGCCGGGCGGTGTTCCGTTAATAGGCTGAATTGAGACACGCGATCAGCAGGACTTCGGGAGGTGAGGGAGCAGGGCAGGGCACGGCGCGGGGCAGCGCTGCAGCACCGGGCAGCGGGCTGGAAAGCAACGGCAGGAGGAGTGGGACGGTGGGTGGTTCGGCACAGCGCGGCACGGCTCGGCGCAGGACGCACAGCCCCGCGGCTGCGGGCACGGAGCGCCTCCATCCCATCGCAGCACATCGCAGCTGCCCAGCGGTGACCGCCGGCGAACCAAGCTCCCTAACGAGCTCTTCCCCACGAGGTGAGCCGCCCGCCTCCCACTCCTGGCATCTTCGCTTCTGCTTCAAAGGCAGCGGGAGCCTCAGAGCCGCCCCTGCGCTCACCTCCCGCTGCCGCCCGCACCCAGCGCCGGCGCGGCCTCTCCATCCCTCCTTCAGGCTCTGAGCTCCGCCCGATGAAAGAGCAGAGCACCGAAAACGCAGCCTTCCCCCCTGTCGGCCCCCCGGAACGCGGCACCCTGCGAAGCACGCACGTGCACACGTGTGCGCCCAGGCGTTGCGCGCTGGTGCCGCCGCGAGCACCGACCCGTGTGCGCTCGGCTCGGAGTTGGCTTTGCAGCGCATCCCCCCCTGCCCCCGCTGCCGCCCCTCTCCCTGCTCGCTCCCCGTTTCCTCCCCCCCCGCAGCGCCGTGCCTCCCGGCTCGCTGCCACCGCCGTTCCTGAAGCACGCAGGCTGGCAGCGGCGCGGAGCCGTAATTAATGGGGCCGCTTTGCCAATCAGTGGCCGCGCCGCGCTACCACTGGCAAGCAAAGGCCTTTTTATTTATTTTACTTAACTGCTGTTGGTAAAACTCCGCTCCAGAAGCAAGGCCGGGAGACGGCGCGGGGGGATCTCCGCTGGGATTAAGGATTGCGCTCTGCCAGGGAATGGGGTGAGCACAGCCCACACCCCATCAGCAGCGAGGCCCCCCCAAGTCCGGCACTGGGCTGCTCCCTCTGCCATCCCAGTGCCACAGGGACGCTGTTCCCACTGCACAGACCCGTCCTGCCCCTCCCCCCCGCCCCCCCCCGACACCGTGCCAAGGGGCAGGGGGTTCCAGGAGGTCACCAAACTGGGGTTCCAGACCTTCAGGCAGCGGCAGTAAATGGATGCGTGCGGGGTGGGGGTTCAGTAGTCCCTGGTTTTGTCTGGAGCTGGATGCGTCGGGAGCCTCCGAGGTGCTGCTCTCTGGGGAGGAGAAGAGCTTGGATCCACCCTGCTTTCGGCAGACATTGAGAATGAATAGATGGGCTGAGAGCAGAGGGACGCGGTGGCCCCTGCAAGCACAGAGGAAAGACGGAGCCTTGATGTTTGGCAACCGAGTCGGGTGGCTCCAGGCCAGCTTCGTCCCCATTAGAGGATGGCAGCGTGGTAGGAAGTGAATTTGCAGGGCCCTGGTCCAAATTCCCTTGGAGAAGCATCGAGGCGTCAAAGTAGGCAGGTCCCAAAAGGTCCGTGTGTCCGTCCGAGTGCGGGGCTGCCGCATCCCCTCCTGTGGGGCACGGAAAGCACAGGGAGCCTGTGGGGACGGGGCTGTCCTGCCCCATATCTGTCACTCAGCAGCGATGGGCACAGCCCAGGTGAAGGAAAACCCATCGATTCCCGTGGTTCCATATAGAAATAGCCTGGATGCAGGCAATGATGGCAGCACCCACAGGTCTGTGTCCATTTTCTCTCCAGCTCAGACTGAGGTTTGTAGCATCCCAGCTCTCAGCTCCTGGCGAACTCCTTAGATCAAAAGCAGTGTGTGGGAAGAAAAGGCCTCGAGGAGGAACTGCTGCCAGGCTCCAGCACAGAGGGGCTGACGCCGCCTCGCAGCCGCCTCCAGTGTCCGCGGTGCCAAACCCCACTGGGGAATGGGGCTCTGAGCAACCCGACGAGGGCGGCCAGGGGGCAGCCAAGCGAGAGCCACAGTGACAGTGACGACAGCTGTGGCCGCCCCGCTCCTCCCCACCTCCTCTGCGCTGGGACCACATGAGCACCAACGCTGGCTCCCACAGCCTGGCTCCAAACCGAGCCGCCGTGGGGCAGGGCTCAGCCCCCACTGCTCCCAGTGCCTCCCCAAAGCTCCGCTCAGCGCCAGTCCCACACCACATGCCCCATCTACCAGCATCACCCACCCCAAAACCACAGCCAGACGCTCAGCACAGCGCAGCTCGGCCGCCCCAGGGCCGCCTCCTTGGGGCCAAATCCCCACGTCAGCGGTGCCAGGCGGCATCCAGCACACAGCAGTGCCATGACCTAGAAAAACAGAGGGCTGCTCACACACCGCGAGCCACAGCGCACACTGCCAGAATGGGGCTGCACAGATCCTCCTGGTGCTTCAACAAGTGACACAGGGACACATGTGGCATCGCTCCATCTGCACATCCCTGAGCACATAGGTCCCAAAGGAAGGGAAGGGAAGGGAAGGGAAGGGAAGGGAAGGGAAGGGAAGGGAAGGGAAGGGAAGGGAAGGGAAGGGAAGGGAAGGGAAGGGAAGGGAAGGGAAGGGAAGGGAAGGGAAGGGAAGGGAAGGGAAGGGAAGGGAAGGGAAGGGAAGGGAAGGGAAGGGAAGGGAAGGGAAGGGAAGGGAAGGGAAGGGAAGGGAAGGGAAGGGAAGGGAAGGGAAGGGAAGGGAAGGGAAGGGAAGGGAAGGGAAGGGAAGGGAAGGGAAGGGAAGGGAAGGGAAGGGAAGGGAAGGGAAGGGAAGGGAAGGGAAGCTCTCCCCGTTCTCCCCCAGATCCTCCTGCCACCTGCACACGTGCCCATGCCAGCACACGCTCGGTGCCCACGTGTGTGTCCTCACTGCGTGCCCACGCTCCCCAGGCACCGCTCACCCCATAGCACTGCACTGGGGGCTCTGTGTAGCCCCTGACCAAACAAAGCCCCGCGCAGGAACGGCCGCACGCTGTCCCTGGTGCGGTGCCAGCGCCGTGCCCACGCTGCCCATTCACCGCGGTGCCGGCGTGGGGACAGGCACACGCCACACACCCACGGGTGCCAGGCTGGCAGCGCGCGCGTGCCCACACCGGGGCTGGCGAGGACACCGCTCAGGCAACCGAACCCCCGCGGATGCGATGCCACAGTGCGGCGCAGCGCCCACCCGCGCGTGGGCACCTCCGTGTCGTAGGGGCAGCGCTGTGGACCCGCACCCCGCGCACGCCCGGTGCGAACCGAGCGCCGCAGCCCCGCAGCTTCCAGCGGGGGCCGGGGCCGCCCTCGGGGGCACCGCATCCCGGCGCCGGTGCGGGAAAGTTCCCCGGGGCCGGAGCTCCCGCAGCGCGGCGGAGCGGGGGCTGTGCCAAGCGGCAGAACGGGAACCGCAGCCCGCAGAGCTGCCGCCCCCGCCGAGCGCACCGCACCCCGGGGCTGGGCACAGCGGGGCGAGACGGAGAAAAGGGCTTCGGTGCACCGGGAGGGGGGGGGGGGCGGCGCACCGGGACGGGGCTTCGATGCACCGGGAGGGGGGTTTCGGCGCACCGGGGGGGGGGGGGATGCTCGGTGCCGCCCTTACCTGCGCTCCGTCAGCAGCGCGTGGAGCCCCGGCGCGGCGCGGCGTGCAGCGGGATGGCCATCCCCGAGCGGCGGCGGCGGCTGCCGGTGCCCGGGAGCGCCCGGGGGAGCGCGGCGGAGGAAGCGGCGGCGCGCAGGGCCGGCAGCGGGCACGCGGAGCGCCGGGCCCCGGCGGTGGTGGCGGAGGAACGCGGCGGCGCGCGCGGCTCGGGCACTTGCTGCATGCGGGGCGGTGTGACAGCAGCGGGCATGGCGGAGTGCGCGGCCCCGCCGCCGCCTTAAGGAGACCGCGGGCGGTGGGAGGAGGGGAGGGGAGGGGGGGAGGAGGGGGTGTCCCCCCCTATCGGTGCTGGAAGGGAGGGGGCGGCCGCTGGGATGGTGAGGGATAGGGGGGGAGGGGGGAAGTGCGCTGGCTGCGCGTGCACGCGGAGCGGGGGGCGGGGTGGTGCACATGTGCAAATGGCTGTTGTGCAAACCGGGAGCGTGCGATGCGCGCGTGCAGATGTGCGGGGTGCACGTGTGGGGGTTGCTTTGTGCGGGCAGGGGCTGCAAGGTGCACACGCGTGGATCGGGATTGTGAACGCAGCGGCCGGGTTGCGTGCATGAGTGTGCACGGCTGGGTGCTCAGCACGCTGCTGCGTGGTGCTGCGTGTGCAGCAGATGCGTTGCACGTGTGTGCAGAGCACGATCTGCAGGGAGTGTGGCACAGGGAGCACCTCGCTGGGTGAGGAGTGTGCTCGGCACACACAGTGCTTGCACACATGTGGAACAAGTGTGTGTGGCACCAGGATGTCCTGCGGGAGGATGGCGGGGAGCTGCAACCCCTCCAACAAAGAGCTGCAGCACATGCAGCAGCTGCAGGAATTGCAGGAGGTGCAGGAGGTCTGCGTTCCCCCCTGCTCTGGGCCCTGTGTGGGTGAACCTCAACACCATGGTGGCACGTGGGGGATTGAGAGCAGCTCTGCACCCACCAAGCACCGACCCAGCGCCGTTCCATCACCCACCACTGCTGGCAGCTTCCAGCCCAGCACAGTGCAGCTGCACGCAGGGCCGTGCCCACGCTGTGCCCGGCGTCTCCTTCCATCCCCCCCCCGTCCCTTCCCTGCAGCCTGCTGGTGCCTGACCCCACGTCCCCAGGCAGGCGCTCGTCCCCTCTGGGTTGAGGCTGAAGGAAAGCACAGCAGCTCACGGGCTGCTCGTTACGCCAGGGAGAGCAGCAGCGGTGGCTCAGACATCACTGGAGGATATTCTGGGCCCATGTCTGTAAACACAGATCAGTGCAGATCGGAGCAGAAGGGCGATCCTGAGCCCACAGCTCTCCGGGTCACACTCTCTGCTTCCCTATGGCTGTTTGCTCCTGCAGCTGACTGGGGCTGCAGGGCCACACGCTTGATATGCTTCCAAATTTCCATGTCAGCAGCTCCAGGCGCCCTGTGAGCGCTGTGGGTCTCTGGGTGCCACTGCTGTGGCCCAGCCCAGCTCCCAGCACCCATCCTAAAGAGCTCCATGTGCAGCAGGGGGGCCCAAGCTGCAGGAGCTGGAGGCACCCACTGTTACCAGGACAACTGGGTGCTTTCTCTGTAGCTGCTTTTTGCTGCTGCATCCCTGCAAACCTCCCCCTGTCACAGCACCACCAGCTGTGCCCACAGCCACCAGCAAAGCACGGGGGTGATCAGACCCCCCCTGACCTCCACGCTCTCCCCTCCAGGACCAGGTGGTGCTCAGGAAAGTGCAGAAGAATCCCATCCCACGCAGGGTATGGCGCCACGATGTGCAGCACTGAGCACCACCAGCACTGGGCAGGGCCCAGCCCAGCCCTCCCCACTGGTTCCCACAGCACCCACACCGCCGTGCTTCCGGCGCAGGCTCTGATTTCCCCTTCACTTGGCACAGAAATCAAGGATGGGGCAGAGTCAGCAGGCTGGCAGGTCCTCTGTGTGTGGCCCCGGGGAGGATTCAGCATAAAGGAGCGCAGTGCCCCCACCGGCACCTGGAGCAGGGGATGCTGAGGGCGGCCCCAGGCTCCTGCAGGCCCTGCACCACTCCCAGGCTCTGTGTCCCAGCAGCAGTTTGGAGGCTGAGCCGTAAGGTGGCCCTCTGTCAGCCGCTTCCCACAAACTTTGCTGCAAATTGCTCCAGCAGAAGAACCGAGGCCACAATAAATGGGAAGGTTTGGGTTTGCAGAAATGATTTGCTTTAATGGGAAACGGCGGTGAGTGCCTGGAGAAGGAGCCCACACAAGGCATGGAGGAGCAGGGCGATGCCCATCGCTGGGGTGGACGGATCAGCCCTGTGCCCTCTGCTCCCCCCAGGTTCTCTGCAAGTGGTGGTGGGGAGAAAAGCAAAGTGAAAGGAGCAGGGGAAGCCTGTGCGTGTGACCAGGATGTGAAAAGCCCTGTGATAAAACCCCGTTGGGGTTTGTGAAGGACCAAGGCGTGCTGCTGCAGGGCACCAGCTGACCCCTGACCCCCCCAGCACTGCCCTCCTGCCCAGGAGATGTTCTGAGCTCAGCATCATCGCTGCATTCGCTTCCAAGCGCTGTTGGACACGGACCAGCAGCCTGTCTGTGTCACCAGGGCAGGGCACAGGGCTCAGCACGCCGGGCTGGGCACAGCACAGGGAGCTCATGGGGAAACTGGGAGAAATGGGGTGAAATGGGGGGAAATGAGAGAATCCCAACCTGGGGGCTGAGCACAGCATGCGGCCGGCGGAGCCGCTTCGCCCCCCAAGCAGCACTCAAAGCGCTGCACACGAGCAGGAAACTTTGCATCAATATTCATCTCGATTAATAAACATGAGGCTGCAGAAAGCCCGGCTCAAACCTTCAGCAGGGAGGGTGCCGCCGCTGCTCAGCATCGCCGGAGCTGAGTGCCTGCACACAATGGGTTCTCGCAGCAGGAGAGCCCAAAGGTGGGATGTTGGATGTTTTCCCCGTCCCTTGATCAGCAGCACGGCATCTCCTGGGGCACGGGAGGCAACAGAGCCACCCTGGGGCACGGCAGCCCTACGGCCTGGGGGTGTGCAGGGGGTGCAGTGGGGTGTCTCCACCCCAGCCCTTGGGGGGGGGATGGGGGGCACTTGGGGACGTGGGCCAGGCAGCGCATGGCTCCGGCACGGGGCAGCCCCGCAGGACCCCGCTCCTGTCACAGTGCCAGCAACCCGGGGCATAAACAAGTGGCTGACATTTCAGCACTGCCGCCGGGCCCCTGGATAAAAGCAGAACGTAATTAGCAAATTAATCAGGAGACAATAGGCGGGGATGTCACGCTGCCGAGCTGTCACTCGCTCTGTCTGGAGCTGACCCCGTGCCACTGGGCATGTTCAGGGCCAGGAGCGCTGGGCAGGAGGCTGAACCCATATCGCCGTGTCCCCGTGTCCCCACATCTCCACGTCCCCTTGTCCCACAGGACGGCCGATGCCACGTTTCCTGCAGACGGAGCCCCTCGAAGGGCAGCGCCCCCCTCTAAGAACAGCATTCGAAACGGCGAATCGGAGCCAATTTGCGTTCAGCTCATTGGACTCCCTGCAAACACGGCAAAGCTCGTTCAAACACATTTTGGTGATAAAACGATATTGACTCTGAGTAATTAAAAATCATTTCCATATTCAAATACGGCTGATTGAGGAGCAATGGCTGCCTTTTAATTGCCTGAAGGGGAACGATCAACTTCGGGAGCACGCAGCTTCGCTCGGTGGGCTGTGGAGGAGGGGGAGGAGGAGGAGGAGGCGTAGGAAGAGAAGGAAAAAAGGAGGAGGAGGTGTAGGGAGAAGAGGAGGAGGAGGAAGAGGCGGGGGAGGGCTGGCACGCCGGCAGCACGCAGGGTGAGGCCAAGGAGCTGCGCTCTTCCCTTGCACATCGTCGCACGGTGTGACAGCGACAGCTGCTGTGGCCACTCGCACAGCCCTAAAACGCACCGCGGGGTCGGCGCTGCCTGCAGCCCCAGCGTTGATGCTGCCTGGGTGCATCACGACTCGGAGCTCCCCAGCAGCTCCCAGCACCAACCGGGGCTCTGCTCCACTTCTAGGAAACCAACCCCCAGCTCAGCTCGGCCTCTGCCCACGTGGGTGTGCATTTGGGGACGTGGGAGTGCGTGCAGGGATGTGGGCATGCAGGGCTCTGTGAGGAGGCATGGGGGGGCCACGCTGTGCTCCCCCATCTCCATCCCCCCTGCTGCTCGCACGGCCCCTTCAGTGCAGGGCTCCACAGCTGCCCAGCACCGGGGGGGTGAGTGGGGCAGCACCCGAGGGGCACAGCAAGGAAGGGCCCCATGATGTGCACACAGCCTCACCCCAGTGAACGCTGCAGGACCGGCCCCCGATGTGCTCCAGCCTCACACAGCTGCTGGAAGCCTCCCGGAACGCAGCTCCAAAGCCTCTCCCATTTATTCCCAGCCCATCTGTCCTCAGCTGCCTTTTTACCTTCGCTCCCTCCACGCTGCCCATCCTCTGACGCTGTGCCACAAGGATGCTCAGCACAGGGCAGGGCTCCCCCCCAACTCTCCGCTGCCCTCTGAGCAGATTCACGCGTTGCTTCCGTCCATCTGCTCCCGCCCTGGGCTGTGGTGGGGATGGTCACAGTGAGCACAGCCCTTCCAGTGCCACAACACCAACACCAGAGTGGGGCACACACAGCTGCTGCCCCCATGGGAAACGTGGCAGAGTTTGGGAGATGGTTTTTCTTTAATAACCCAGAGCCACCGGAACTCGGTGCGCTCAGAAAGCAAAGGGAGAACCCAGCACTGCCCCGGGTCCATGGGGTCACCAAGAATCAAGGTGAGCCAAACCCACAGATCCCCCCGGGGCCCCACGGGTGCAGGGTGCATTTTCACCCTCTCCCACCCACCGCTCACAAGGGGAAGATATTGAGGCTGAAGCCGGAGGGATGAGAGCACCGTGGTGGAAGGGAACGCGGCGGAGTGCTGAAGGCAGAGCTCTGTGCCTCCTCCCACAGCACAGATGGATGCACCAGGGCTGCAGGCACCGCCGGAGCGTGCGGAGAAGAGGAGAGGAAGGGAGCGAGTGAGAGCGGGGTGTGTGAGCAGAAATTGAATTTTTATCAGTTTCTATGTAGATTGTGTTTATTCATCTGTCTCCCATCCA